CGAATGCGGCTCATGCGAGGGTCGAGCTCGGACTGGTGTAGGCTGGACGCGCACCACACTAGGTAGCTGCTTGGCGGCTAGAGAAGGCGGCGGCAGCGCCGCTCGGCGTGGACAGCGCGAAGACCTCGCGTGGCTTCAGCTGCTGCTTGCGTCGACCGCCTGTGTGTGCCTTGACGATAGTCGAAGGCGCCACAACTATACATTTACATGTCTTATATTTAAACACCAAACCAAAATTTTTACAAACACTTTGTATAAAGAAGTAATGTCAAAATGAGGTCAGTAAAATATAAACCACAACATTTGATGTTCATAAAAGAGACTCAAGCCATACTATTTAAGGAAGTATCCCCCATATTTATAATAACGTCAAGATTTTGATGATATTTAAAATGTAGGTAAATAATGGCAAGACAAAGCTCCAGTTAAAATTTCAAGACTGTTTAAGCTTTGGAAGTCAGTTATTAATGAAAATGTATCTTTCAATTTAACAAGGCATCTAATGGGTGAACACATTTTTTGCCTCTTCATTTGTTGATGTCTCAATAAATAACGTCAAGATAAGGATCATATTGTTTTATAAGAAGAAGAATATATATAAGGATTACATTAGTGTTTGTAATGTTTATTCGTATTAGTAATGTAAAATTACTAATAAATAAAAAAACAAGCAAAAAAACTAGGTTAAAACTCATACATACATGTATAAACCGCATTGAAAACTATGACAGTACTATAGTTTTCTACAGCGAATATAGTCAATAAAGGGGATACTCCATTAATGAGTTGAGCGTTGACTAAATGAAATTATTCAACCTATAATTGCATTAACTCTTATGATTCTAGTACAGTTAAATATTTTAAAGTTACTCTTTAAAAGGGCTTGATCTTTTTTAATTTTAAAAATAGATGAAGTTTGTTTGAAACAAATTGAAATGATGAATTATGTAAGGATAGTTCAAAGCTTGTTTCTTTTATTTTTCTTTTTTTTTTTTTTTTATTTACTTAAAGGTCATCAATTTTATTAAATTTTTCACTTACAAAACCATACTTTCGCTTCTGATGCTTATAGCTAAGCTACTTATGTAGTAAAAGTATTCTAACCCAAATAAAATCAAAGCTAGGACTAAACCATATCGGTTAAAAAAAATTTGTTTCCGTTTAGTGCCTCTGTTCAAAAGTTATAGCTGTTGAACGAGAAGCGATAAAAATTGCTAAAAACGAGATTTCGTTAATTGTTGCCGAAAATTCATAATTTTAAAAAAAATCCCTACATCTTTTGATTGGTGGCACCAAATCCAACAAATTTTTTTTTTTTGTTTTTTTTTTTTGCAATCAATAAAGCCTCGTTTCAGTAATTATTTGAGCCTGTTTTGGACCACCTTAAATAGTGCACTCCATCGCTACTTGTGTTTGAAGTGGAATCGATATTCATCGATGTATCTCGCGAAAAAAGTTGGATCAAACGCCAAAACGTGTGTCTCATGTTTTATCCCACTAATACTGAAAAAAAAGTTTCGTAAAACTGCGGTGCACGAATGCTAGAAAAAAAAGACACTTTTATCATTGAGGGGTACGGAAGTGACAGGTACGAAAGCGAAATTTTGAGCTTTGGAGTACTATTGCGGTTCGTAGATTTAATATAAACAATTTTCCGCATACAAAACATCTGTCGTCAATAATTAGAACAAAAAAAAATGTTCGTTACCTGTATGAAAAACAGAGTGGTGGGTCGAGGGAGAGACGAAAGTGATCAAAATTTTTGTAAACACGAAAATTAAAAATTAAAATACGTATCAATTAAAGCGATAAAGAATTTTGATAGCTTGACTTAACCGTTTGTTTTGTCACGATGTGAGATTTAAAAAATGACCTCTAAAAACTGTCATGAAATACAATAGAGTGGTTTCAAAGCGATTTTCACTGTCACCAAAATTTCGTTTAAATCGTGGGACATTTAGTATTTGATTAAAACTCTTGCTTATAAATTGAAAATTAATGTCATTATGGCGCAAATGTAATATACGATGTCTATACCTGACCATGTATATGCGAGAATATGGCAGAAAAGCTTTTTTTCCTCGTAAAAGCTTTTAGGTGCAAGATCGAGATTGGGACAGGGCACGAAAGTGACATTTTGATTACATTTTCCTAATTACCTTATTAAGGAATAAATATATCAGCTTGAAAGTTTTTTCCAAAAAAATTTAACTCTTTTAAGATAATTTGACGCAATTTGAACATTCAAATTTAGTTTCTTGCAGTAGCATGAGCTCTGGGCACGAAGTTGGCCACTTACGGCAGAATCACTCATACACATATCCACCGACACGATGGTTAAGCGGTAGAGTTGCAGTCTCGTCCATCACCGATGTTAAGCAGCATTTGGCGGTTAGTACTTGGATGGATGACCGTTCAAGTCTTGCCGTTTTGCCTCTGCTGTTTGCTTCGTGGATTGATTGACTGTTTCTCTGTCCCTTTGACATCGTGAGCAGAAGGTGTGCCAAATCTATGCCCCGTTGTCTAAGTCTGCAGCTTAGACACCGAGTCAGAAATAAGGCAGACACACCGGGCTGTTCCGGATCAGGTTTTTTCTACGGGAGATTTCCTGATCGACATGACAAACGTTATGGGCGAATGTAAAGCAGTTGAAAGGGCCCTCCCCCTTCCAATCCCACCCCAATTCCTCCCCAATTCATCAAGTGCTCTAAGTAGTGCCTCTACAAGACAGCCAGACATAAAGCACTATATTAAATATATA